CCGAGGCAACGGGCCGAGGAACCCTCTTCCCAGGAGACGCCGAGGCGAAAGAAGCCTCGACATGAGGAGACCCCTACCGCGGGAGCTGAATCCCCACCGGTAATTGACATTACCGATGCTCCTGAGGGTTCCGAGGCCCTTCTAGAGGAAGAGACCGTGCTACTTCCTGGGGCGAGGTTCTTCGACCCAAACTTTGAAGTACCCGACGTTTCTTGGGGCCATATAGATGCAGTGATGAAACTGCCCCCACATTTCTCTCTCATCTTCCAGGCCATGTACGAGTTCTTTTTTGAGCCGGACTGGGACAGCGCTCGCCGTGTCCCCTTGCTCGACCGTATCCATCGGCAGATCTCCCTCCAGATCCATGTAAGTCCCTTTCTGCTAAGTGGGTTGCATTTGCGTAGGCATCTTTTCCTAACTTCCTTGTCTCTGGCAGTCCCTCGTCCTCTCCATCCTTAACTATCTCGAGATGGTTAAGGTGGATAAGAGGAGCCATGCGATGGATCGTACTAAAGAGCGCCTGAAGGCTCTTCTTAAGAAGGCAAGGGATGACAAGAAGGAGGCTTTTGAGGAGCTTAGTCATGTTGCCGAAGAGCTGCAGATGACGACAACTGATTTAAAGGCCGCCCAGGAGGAGATTGCCCGTGTTCGCAAAGAGGCTGCCGATACGAAAGAGGCCCTGCGCAAGGAGGCTTTCAACCTTGGCAAGCAGGAAGGGAAGAAGGAGGGAGTCGAAGAGTTCATAGCCTCTGCAGATTTTGCTCAGAGGAATTCTGAGTCTGCTGCCAAAGCCATCGAGGATTTCAAATCCTCTGATGAGTTTTTTGTTATGCGTGCCAAGGATATGGAATCTGTGGGGCAACAAATTGGTGCCAGAATTAATAAGCATATCCCCAGCCTCGACTTGGACTTCCTCTATGAGCCTCCTTTCGACGACGAAGGCTCTTCTTCTGAAGATACAGCCGGTGAGGGCAGTAGTGGGGTAACGGCAGGCGACCGCGCTGCTGGCGGAGGCGGCGATACTTAGTTTAGTTTCCACAATTGTATCAATAATCTCTTTATATGTATTTCGAGACAATTTTTAATTGCTCTTTGGCTTTCTGTTGTGTTGTTTTGTTGTTGTTTGTCGAGCATTCATCTTTCCTCTTTGGAGGAGTCGACGCTTATCTTACCCCTTGGGGTTTTTGTCTTGGCAAATTTCGTATAATTTGCTAACTATTCGTCTCTCCTCCTTGGAGGAGTCGATGTTTATCTTACCCCTTGGGGTCTGTCTTGGCAAATTTCGTAAAATTTGCCAAGTATTCATCTCTCCTCTTGCCAAGTATTCATCTCTCCTCCTTGGAGGAGTCGACGTTAACCTTTACCCCTTGGGGTCATCGTCTTAGCAAATTCCTTGAAATTTGCTAAGTGTTTGTCTCTCTTCCTTGGAGGAGTCGACGTTCACTTTTGCCCCTTAGGGTCGTCGTCTTGGCAAATTCCTTGAAATTTGCTAAGTGTTCGTATCTCCTCCTTGGAGGAGTTGACGTTAACCTTTACCCCTTGGGGGTCGTCGTCTTAGCAAATTCCTTGAAATTTGCTAAGTGTTCGTCTCTCTTCCTTGGAGGAGTCGATGTTAACCTTTACCCCTTGGGGTGTCTTCTTTTGGGGTGGTTCGTGGACCCCTTACTGCCCCCATGTCTAGCTAGTATACTTTATTTTTTAGGTAGACATGTTATTAAGGGGTAAATTCCTTCTTTGTAAATGTGTTCCGCATTCCAAGGGTGTTGAACCTTCTAGTATGTAGGTTCCTGGGCGTATCAGCTCCCTGATGCGGTAATGTCCTTCCCATGTTGGGTCCATAGGACCTGTATTTTTTGGCTTTGTGCTTTGCGTCACCCTTTTTAATACTAGATCCCTTGGGATGAACCTCCTTTACTTGACCTTCTTGTTGTAGTATCGCGCCGTTCTCTGTTGATAAGCGGCGAGGCGTAATTGAGAATTGAGCCTTTTTTCTTCTAGAAGGTCGAGTTCCCCATTTAATGCTTCCGCGTTTGCGTCGTCATCATACGCGACTATTCTTAGTGTCAGCGTCGTAATTTCTATGGGGAGAATCGCCTCGGCGCCATACGTCATTGAGAAGGGTGTTTCACCGGTGGTAGTTTGACTCATCGTCCTGTATGCCCATAGGACCTTCGGGAGTTCTTCAACCCATCATCCCTTCAAGTCATATAGCCTTTTCTTCAAAGTGTATTTTAGGATCTTGTTAACGGCCTTAACTTGGCCGTTAGACTGAGGATGTATTGGAGCTGAGAAGTCCTTTCGTATGCCCAAGCTATCACAAAATTTACGCGTCGAGGCGTTGTCAAACTGTCTTCCATTGTCCGATATGATCGAATGTGGGACTCTGAATCTACACACAATGCTGTTCCATATGAAGTTAGTGCAGGCTACCTCTGTCATCGTAGTTAGGGCTTTTGCTTCGGCCCATTTAGTGTAGTAGTCTACCACAATGATGGCAAATTTGAAACCCCCGGGCGCGAGGTGTAAGGGTCCAATTAGGTCGATCCCCCATTTGGCAAAGGGCCATGGGCTAAGAATGGAGGTTAGGCTTTCCGAGGGCGCTCTAGCAATTGTAGCAAATTTCTGGCACTTATCACAACGCCGAGCGTATTGAAATGCGTCTTTTTTGAGGGTGGGCCAATAATACCCCTGCCTTAAAACCTTAAGAGCAAGAGATTGCCCCCCAACGAGATTTCCACATACCCCTTCATGGATTTCCCGAAGGACTCCTCGCGCCTCATCGCCATTTAGGCATCTTTGCAAGGGTGTTGAAAAGCCCCTCCGGTATAACATTCCATCATACAATAGGTATCGGGCTACTCTGTATTTGATCCGCCGCGCTTCCTCTTTATCATCGGGTAGCTTTGCATCTACTAAGTATTGGATGAGTGGAGTCATCCAATTTTCGACCGTCTGAACGGTTTAGGCTTCGTCCCTCTCGTCTATGGTCGGCCGCTAAAGTTCCTCGATGGGGATGACTCCTAATATGTCGGAGTCTTTTGATGATGCGAGTTTAGCCAGGGCGTCGGCGTTTGTATTTTCAGCTCTGGGTACCTGTTGTATCTCATAACTCTTGAACTTTACAAGTTCATTTTTTACCTTTCTCAAGTATGCACCCATTCTCTCACCGCGGGCTTGGTATTCTTCTCTTACTTGCCCGACGACTAGTTGAGAGTCACTAAAGATGCAGATTCTTTGAACTTTCAAATGACAGGCCAGTCGCAATCCTGCGATAAGCGCTTCATATTCAGCCTCATTATTTGACGCCCTGAACTGGAATCGTACCACCGAGGTAATCTTGTGGCCCTCTGGGCTGATAAGCATGACACCGGCTCCTGATCTTGTTTCGCTCAACGCCCCATCCACATAGAGTTTCCACTCGACAGCCTTGGCCTCTTCGTCTGGGGATGGAGCTGGTCTGTGCAAGAATTCTGCCAGGAAGTCTGCTAACACTTGTCCCTTGATCGCTGCCTGCGGTACATACTCGAGGTTGAATTGGCTCAGTTCTATTGACCATTTGAGGAGTCGACCGGACGTCTCAGGCTTTTGTAGTGCTTGCCTTAATGGATGGTTCGTTAAGACGCTATTGTGTAGGCCTGGAAGTAATGTCGAAGTTTCCTTGAGGCCACCATCAGGGCGAGGGCAAGCTGTTTCATCTCGGTGTATCTAGACTCGGCATCCAAGAGTTTCTTACTCACGTAATATACGGGTAACTGGATTCTTTCTTCATTTCTGATGAGCACTGAACTCACAGCATGTTTAGATACAGAGAGATAAAGACTTAGTTTCTCACCTAAAATTGGCTTTGACAAAATTAGGGGCCTGCCTAAATGCTCTTTTAGCTTTTGGAAGGCTTATTCACATTGCTGCGTTCACTCAAACCGCTTACTACCCCGTAAAGCGTTAAAGAAAGGTACACATTTGCCCGTTGCCTTTGAAATGAACCTATTGAGGGTGGCGACGCATCCCGTTAGTCGTTGCACCTCCTTTGGTTTTGTGGGAGACCTCATATCTTGCAAGGCTTTAATCTTTTCTGGGTTGGTCTCTATCCCTCGGCCACTAATCATGAAGCCGAGGAACTTCCCAGATCCGACTCAGAAGGCACACTTCAGGGGGTTGAGCTTCATGTGATATCTTCTTAGTACGTCGAACATTGCTCCCAAATGGACGACGTGTTGAGCAGCTTTGGCACTTTTTACCAGCATGTCGTCGACATACACCTGCATTGATTTTTCGATTTGGTTAGCAAACATTTTGTTTACTAGCGTCTGGTATGTTGCACCTGCATTTTTTAAGCCAAAGGGCATTACCTTGTAACAATAGAGGCCCCTGTCAGTTATGAATGACGTATGCTCTTCATTGGATGGATGCATGGGGATCTGGTTGTATCTTGAGTAAGCATCCATGAAGCTTAGCGTTTCATGACCAGCTGTGGCGTCGACCATTTGGTCGATTCGGGGAAGAGGAAACCCGTCTTTAGGACATGCTTTGTTGAGGTCGCTGAAATCAACGCACGTCCACCACTTCCCATTTGGTTTGACAACTAGAATGGGGTTTGAGACCCATCGTGGGTAATAGGCCTCCCTAATGAAGCCGTTGTTGATCAATTTGTCGACCTCTTCTTTTAATGCCTCGTACCTTTCTGGGTTCATTGGTCGACGCTTTTGTCATTTGGGGGGATACGAGGGGTCGACATTTAGGGTATGGCATATGACTTTAGAGTTGATCCCTTCCATGTCAGCGTGAGTCCAAGCAAAGACATCCAGGTTCTTTATGAGGAAACTTTCGAGTTCAACCCTAAGTAATGGGGTCAAATCTGAGCCTATCTTCAGCACCTTTGTTGGTTCATCCTCGTCGACCTGGATCTCTACTAACAGCTCAACGGGTTGAGACCACGCGGCCTCCTCTTGGACCCTGGGATCTATATCTTTAACGGTGCCCTGATTGACCATTCTTGTCTCCTACCTTCCTGGCTGATCGTATCCGTTTAAGGCATCGGAGTACGCAACCCTAGACTCGTATTGGTTGCTCTTCATTTCACCTACTCCATTTGGGGTGGGGAATTTGACCTTCTTGTGGTAAATGGAGGTTATTGCCCTCAGCGTCTGAAGGGTCGGCCTTCCAATCACAACATTATATTGTGAACCTCCTTTTATTACCATAAAATTAGCCATTGTTGTGGCTTGCCGAGGCTTCTCCCCCGTGGTTATGGGCAGCCGGATTGTCCCTTGGGGGATGATGGAGTCCCCTGTGAACCCATACAATGGCCGGGAGGTTCTTTCTAATTGCTCCTTCGGGATCTCCATCTTTTCCAGGCAATCAGAATATAAAAGGTCCACTGAGCTCCCGTTGTCCACCAGGATCTGGCACAATGTGTGATTTCCAATCAGGGTTTCTACCACCAAGGCGTCATTGTAGGGGAAGTGGACCCCGTTTGCGTCGTCCTCATTAAATGCCAAGTCAGTGCTGCTAAACCTGGTTGATTTGGCAGCCGAAACATTCCAGAACCTTTCCTGGTACACCCTTTTAGCTTCGTGGACGTTATCCTTCTGAGATCTTCTTGAGTCTCCTCCAAGGTACTGGCTGCTAAGGATAGTCCTTATGACGCCAACAACTTCTCGTTCATCTGGGTTCCGGGGTTCATCCCGGTGTCGCCCGTCATTTTGGCCGCCGAAGCCATTGTTTCTTGGTCTCCGCTCGGCCTTGAATTCCTGCAGCCTTCCCTCGCGGATTACTCTTTCGATCTCATCTTTGAGACCGGTGCAATCGTTGGTGTGGTGGCCAACATCGCCGTGGAACCTGCAGTATTTATTCTTGTTCCTTCGGCTGGGGTCCGATCTCATTGGTTCTGGTTGGCGCAGCAAGTTCCTGCGACCGACCTGATTAAACACCTCTTCAACCCCCATAGTTAATTCATGATATGAGTCGTACCTTTAGAACGGTCGAGGCTTGCGGTTTTCCTCTTGCCTCAGCTTCTTGGCCTCTGGAGCGTTCGATGTCGAAGCAGGCTGCTTGTCTCCACTTCCTCTGCCTCGTCGCTTCTTTCCGTCCTGTTTTCCTACGGTTGACCCTTGCTTTGTCCCTTTATTTTTATTTGACCTGTGCTCGGGGTCGTTCGTGTTTGCTTCCTCGGCGTTGTTGTACCCTTGTGCTCATGCAAGGAATTCTTTGTAACTTGACGGGGGCTTCCGGTTCAGCTCCCTCTTGAAGGGGGTGATTTTCTTCATGCTAGATAGTGCCCCTATCAAGGCCTCCCGGTCGGTTATGTCCGTCGTAGCGGCGACAACTTCTCCATACCTTGCAAGCCATTCTTTGAATGACTCATTCACCTTCTGGTATATTGTTGTTAAATTCTGCTTTAGAGGGACATATTTTATTACTCCTATAAACTGGAGGGAAAATGCTTCCTTTAACTCATCCCAACTTGAGATAGAGTTTGGCTTTAGCGTTCGAAACCATCTCTGGGCAGAATCTGTTAGATGGTTTCGGAAGGCTCGGCACATGATCTCCTCAGCATATCCATGTAGGAGCATGTGCCCTGTGTACATCTCCAGGTGGTCATTGGGATCCCCTCGACCATCATACGGTGGGATCGACGGTGACCTGCATTTATCGGGGCGAGGCGGCGCCATAATTTTCGCAGTAAACGGGTGGTCATGCATCCGACTAGGAGTGACGTCGGCGTTTACCACCTCAGCCACTTGCCCTATATTCTTTCTTAGGCCGGCGACATCGCCCGCGAGCTTTTGCTCCATGTTGGCCATACGCTCCATAATGGCTCGTGCCTCCTCCGTTGAGATTGCTGAGCCAGCTCCTCTCGAAGCTTCTGCCCTTTGTGCATTGGGTCCGCCTCTTGCCTCTCCGCCCGCTTGTACCGACCCCAAATCTCCAGGAAGATTCCCGCCCAGGTTCTGAGGTGGCGCCCCCAGGATTTCTAGGCCTCTGGCTACTCAGTTTTCCTGAGCCCGGTGTACGGCGGCCCTTGGACGACTGCCGGAGGATTGGAAAGGTCGGGGCCTCAGACCACCGCCGAGATTTTCATTGTCCCCGACTCCTTCTGGGACGTCATGGCGGCCACCAGGATTCTGGTTTCCGATCGCGGTAGTGCCTAGTGGTCTCGGGGCGTCTTCTAAAGGTGGTATCCAATTCCCTCCATCCAAGCGCTCTACGAAAGTCACCAGGCCCCGCAACAGGTCGGTCAGAGTAGTTAGCTGGGCCTGCATTTGCAAGGGGTTTGGTCGCGGTACGTCAAGGGGTGCAACTTCATTCCTAACTGGAGGCTGGTTTTCTTAAACCCCGTCGTTCGTCGGATGTGTGGCGGTTTCATCCATCTGGCTACCTTGATTGATGGCAAAATCTCTTTTTCTTGGAGGCATCGTCGCTGACTATGTTGTCGGGGGTCAAATGTATGAACCAGAGATTCTGGGTTCATCGCCAGTGGAGTCGCCAATTGAACTTACATAATGAGTATAAAGTGGCTGTGTTTTTCAACTGTGATTCTATCCAAACTTTTTCTTTCTTATTTTATTGAGTAAGCTTTCACGATTCTATCTAAACTTTACCTATCAAAAGGCACGCCTTCATTAATAGCTCAACTATATAAATGGTGATCAACATTGTTGACGGTTAAATTTCATCAACCGAAATGCGCCGGGTTACCCACTGGTATCTCGTTGGGTTACCGGCTGGAATTGACTATATATCTAGACTTAGGCTATGAAGTGTTTTGTAAAAACATAAGATATACGAAAGTAGTGCGAAAATTAGAAGGACGCACGGAATTTTAGAGTGGTTCACCCTGTTAAATAAGAGCTACATCCACTGTATTTTTTGCATATATCTCTGGGTCTTTTATTATATGTGTATGAAGAAAGAAGGAGGAGAAAAATCATCCCCTGAGCTTGGGGCTTTGCCCCTCTTTTATAGCCCAAGTTTACTTCATGGGCGGTTTTCCTCCGTAGGCCTTCCTGTAGGCCTCCAATCGAGTGCCTGCCATCATATGGGCCTAGACCCATAGCCAACTAATCACTTTTTGGACTGTTCATTCATCCCATTAGTCTTCTATTACGGCTCTGTACACCCTGCAACCTGTAACCTGTAGCCCTCCTCCGTCCACTTGTGGACGGTTTAGGGTTTTGCAATTAATGCATGCATTGCAGACACTCCGGGGGTCCCACGTTTATACGGTGGGCACTGTACCGTTGTGGCAGAGTCTAGGCGCAGACCAAAACCTGGTCGAGTTTAGCCAGATCATCTTCCCGGACGAGCCTTATAGACGTCGAGGGTTAATGGGGTCGGCGGCCTAAACGGTTGATGCCCATGTCCACGTAGCCATTATGGGGCCACGTGGCGTGCCCTCGTTGGCTGACGTGTCCAAGCGTATTTTCTGGTACAACAATCATCTTATATAGAAAAAGATATAGATCTCCAAACGAGAAAAATAACTAATTAGGATTATGCTTCACTTTGTTAAATTGTATGAACTAGGAACTTACTTTACTTGGCATATGACTATATTTTGAGATTATATATGTAGTTGAATAATATATTGTCATTTTTATTATTGACAGGGGCCAAAGTTATACTTTTCAGGGAACATATCATGGTAGATGCCAAAAATTATCATATTTGAGCTTGTGATAATTTATTATGACCTAAAAATATCAAATATTATTTTTTTTACAATTGAAATATAGTTTTTAAATTATTATCCTTTAAATAAAAAGTTTTTTTTCAATAAGTAAATTATTTTTTTACTATTTTAATTAATTAAAATATTAAATTATTTAGGATTATTAATCAAGGGTATTTTTGTCAAAATACAGTTTATTTTCATTCCATTTCGTTGTCAACCAAACAACATAATCCTCATTCAGGTATTGATTCCATAACTCCAATCAAACAAAAGAATTAGTTTATGATTCCAGTACATTCCAATTCCACTCCATTACCATTCCCATTACCATTCCTATTACCATTCTTGTTGGGATCTATATGTGCCGTAAGGATAGAAAATCGATTCTAGGGATTTTCTGTAGATTGACATTTTGATATTAATAAAAGAGGTTATTCATGTTTAATAAGTGCTGTCCTATTTACTTTCATTTGTTGAATGTATGATTAATTGAGCAAACATAAATACTCCTAGGCTGTTGGTAATATATCGGATTACCGTTGTATACAAGGTATACATACAAGACATGATAATTCGATAACAGTCTAAATAAAAGGTCCGCAATCGATGGAATAAGATTTGGGGATCTTATTCATGTTAAGATTGTAAAGGTTGTCTACTTCCTTAGAGGGATGGTTTGTCTTGACCATTGGATCGGTTCCGAGTAGAAACCTTGATGTATACTAGTATTGAGGTATGACATTGGACTGGACCTAAAGTGTTAATTGATTCGGTTTAATAATTCCGTTTATAAGAATCAATGACGCTTTGATTATCATCCTTCATTAATCTTAATCCTGAAATGGATACTTGAGTTCGCATCCATGACTCATGCACTTTGATCCACTATAGGTGAGACACTGATAATTGATGGTTAATATACTTGTGTGTTGGGTGTATGACAAATGGATGGAGAAATCAAGATTCATAGATACAGAAACCATAGCCATCTAATAGATGGTAAATGTTATCTACTTGAAGGCATTATTCGGAAATTGAAAGACAGTATAACAAGGCCTTGGCCATCGGTTTACTTTGTGTCCTCTGGTGGTTTATTGATTGTATGGTTTTTACATTCGGTGGTTCTTTCAATGGAGAATAATGGAACTTTAAGTTAAAATGATTGAAAAGGTAAAACAGAATAAGTCCTTAATTCAATCATGGATAACATATTGGGGATTAAGCGAGTGATGAATGATCATGGAAGAAGCACTACGTAAGAGAGCTTTCGTAATACGGTATGTAAACGGGAGTTCAGCTTTAGACTTTTAGTGGAAATTAAGTAGGGTCTGATAAAGACATGGTGCTCTCTTGCATGCAATTCTGAAAGGATTGGACATGTGAAATTAATATGGACAAACATAATGATTTGTCGACATATGATTGGTTGTGGATAAAATAATTATTTATTAATTATTTTGGTTAATTGAATTTTAGAAATAAGATTGTGTTTGAATTGTTTAATTTTGGAAAAACAAAATTTATTCTCTCCTATTTAAAGTGAACGAATTTTAATGGATGGAGGGAAATAGATTTTGTTTCAAAATAGTTTAAAATATATTCCTAATATTAATTATTAATTAGTTTAAACAATGGAGCTTATTTGATAGATTTTCTTCATTTAAAAAAGATGGTTCACGTTTTTTTTTTAGAGAAAAAAAATCTAGAATATTTCATTTGATTAAATTAATTAATATGGATAATGTTTGTGGAAAATATTTATTTAAAATCCAAACAAGAGAATCTTATTTAAATTCAAATTTTAAAAGGAGTTTGAATCAAGATAGGATTTGGACTTTTGGAAGATCAAAGGATCTTGATTTGAATTGAAACCAACAACCTTATCTCCTAAAGATAAGTGGACCAATTTTTGGAGTCCTTCTCCTAAGGAAATTCGTGGATAAGGTTTATAGAACCTAGCCCAAAAAGTTTGTGATCTTTTGGTTCAAAAAGATTTTCTAGGAAAAATAATTATTAATTATTTTTCGGGTAGAAAATTTATTTTTTGAAATAGGATCCAGATATTATATTAGGGCTAGTGCTTCATGAAACATGAGATAATAATAGATCACAAAAGGTGATACACGAATTTTGGGAAAAAGAGAGAGAAAAACGTTTTTGGCTTTCTTCAGGATAAGGGAAAAACGTTTTTTGGGATTTTCTGGACTTAAGAATTCGTCCATGGTGTGAGGAAAAATAAGAGAGAAATTTCCATTGAATCAAAACTAAGAG